ATGTGTTGGTCATTGTTTTCTTTGCTGCTGCAATGAATGGACAGTGCTTGTGGTAACTGAAAGTAAGCTAAGTTGAGATGAAATGAAATGCGTTAAAATGAAATATAAAATAAACTTTTTTATTCGATATCATTTCTGCTTTCCGGGGAAGTATGTGCAAGAAAATTCAATTTGGCAATTAAAACAAGTTAAAGTACTAAAACTAAAATACAAATAAAGCTAGAAATATTTTATTAAATGGTAAATGCACATAACTACAATTGAAAGGAAAATATAAAATGACAAAGTTACATACTAAGCTAAAAATTACTATAATAGTATATAAATTGGACTAAAATAACACTGCAGTATAAGTTAATATCAAGGACCAGATCGAACAAAATCTTTCGAACTGTGAACTGGATTACCTGAAAAGATCCCATTAAAAAAAAAAAAAGATTTTCTCACAAAATGAGGCATTAACAGGCCAAAAAGAGGTCAAAATATTCAGTGAATAATGACTTGGATTTAATCCATTGTATAACTTAAGAAGTAGTATATTGCCTTTTTTGGAGCTTCTAAAAAAATAATCTTTTTTTATTTATTGTGCTCTCTCTCTTTCTCTCTCGCTCTGTCTCTCTCTCTTTAAGCCTGCACGTGAATTAAGTATGTTGTGAGAGTGTGGGTGAAAGTGTACGTCCTACTTGCACAGATGTGCAGTGTTCTCAGGGGGGAAGTGTTACCTGTCCTGTAGGTAACCTGAGCTGTTGTTAATATCTGTGTGGTGTCTGTGTTGTGAATGGCGGTTAGCCTTCTCCCCGAGGCTCTGCTGGGGAAGCAGCGATTGACGTAATCAAAGCGTTTGGCTTGAACTGCTTCGTTGGCTGGCCTCTGAGTTTACGTCTTTGTGCCTCTGTCGAGGCTTGCCTCGCACCTAAGCAAGCCAATATAGGGATGTCATTTGGCACCGTGTTGCACTGCAGCGACCGCAAAGTCAATTAATCTTCTCCGAAATGAGTCATCAAGTGTGGCCGACTGTTGTGCATTCGACTGGTTCAAGGGGCCTGTTTTGATTTTACACCAGTCCTTACTGTTATGACTCATACCTTTCGGCAGCTTGCGGGATTTGACATGTCGTCTGATATTGCGCTGTACCTCTGCGAACTTCAACCAGAACAATAAAACCACTTATTTAGCCATTTTCATGCAACTGCTTAGCAGTCCTTCCTGTACTCTGATGACCTTTTCCGATACATTATATAAAATATACCAGGGATGTCCAATCCTGTCCCTAGAAGGCCACTGTCCCACAGAGCTAATTTAGTATTAGAAACTTCCCAGTAGGTTTTGTTGTACGGATGGTACAATTCCATAAAAAATAAGATAAATGTGAAAAGTTTCCATATGATTTTTTTTTTTTTTTTATATATCTTTATTTGACATGGACATACAATTACATTGGACGAGCCATATGCATTTGTTTTTTAGTGATTATAGCATACATGCTAATTTTCAACACCTGTCCACGGAAGGCTTTTGAAAATAAAATAAAATACAGTTACAAGGGGAAGAAAAAAAAAAAAAAAAAAAAAAAGAAGAAATAGATAAATAAATAAGTAAACAAAAAATAAAAACAGCAAGTATCAGAATCAGAAAGTATTAGTAATAGACTATACATGTGAGCACTGTTGTTTAGTTTTCAGCCATTGTTTTAGTCCTCTGTTAAAAGCATTTCCATCTGTCTCTAGTTTTAAATTAGTGGGCAAAGCATTCCAGAGTTTTGGCCCCTTTACAGAGAAAGCAGACTGACCAAAAGAGGTCTTACACTTTGGAACTAGACAGTCACCTCTGACAGTGGCCCTTGTGTTCGCCCTCTGAGAACTTTGCCGTCTGCTTACTAATTCAGAGAACATTGGTGAAACATGATTATTTAAACATTTATAGACCAATTTGATATAGTTAAAATCAATAAAACTGTCAAAGCCCATAAGCTGATGCTTTGTTAAAACATCACAATGATGCCACTTCATAGGTTTCCGGTCCATAATTTTTATTGTCTGTTTGTAAATGGAGAAAATAGGTTTTAGTTTGGATGGGGATGCTTGCGACCATGATGTAATGCAATATGATAAATGTGAGAATATCATCGCATGCATGTAGAGTTTTGCAGTGTGACAAGACAGATCTCTTCTTATAAATCGAAAACAGTTTATATTTGGTTTGACCTTTTTACATATGTACTTAACATGATTGTCAAATTTTAAATTGTTATCTAGAATTATCCCAAGGTACTTGACTTCGTTAACTACTTCTATTACTTCTTTTTTTATCTGAACCTCAAATATATCACTTAAAGGCCTATTTCGTATGGAGAAACACATAGAGACTGTTTTCTTAACATTAAAGGATAAATGGGATGACTCAAGCCATTTAGAAATATTAATTAATGCTTTTGTCAGGTGTTGCAATAATTGCATATTGCTTTTAAACTAAGATCAACGAATCCTGAAAAAAATGATCATGGTTTCCACAAACATTCTAGGCAGCACAATGTTTTCATTATTGTTTGAAACTGGAGTAATGATGCTGAAAATCCATCACAAGCAAAAATTACGTTTTAAAATATATTCAAAGAAAACCGTTATTTTAAATTGCATACGTATGTGAATGATCTTGTGCTTTCTATACATTTGCATACATACGTGTCCGTGCTTGTCCACTGTCTTGCTTGACGAGGTTTAGAGAAATTCATTCCGCGAGCGCTCCATTAATGACACGGTGTTGAAGTGGTAATTGCAGAGGGAAGATTCTGTGTTTTTTGTTTGTTTTAGCACCCGTGAGGGCACTTTCTCTCACTTGTAGGTTAGTGAAATAAACGGCCCCGTCCAAACTACAAAGTCTACGTTAGAGTATATCTCGCCTGTTCTCCATATACCTGTCTATTTGTCCACTAGAGCGAAGGTGGGAATCAAAAGTCCCATGACTTTGTTGGTCCGCCTTAAATCAGTCACTCAGTCAATCCGACGGCACCGTGGGGCCCCTGGGAGAGGACCACAGGGGAAGGTCACAAAGTGCAGGAATGCTTCTTGAACTCCTTGGCACTTTCGTATGTGTACATTTAATGCTTGTAAAATGCTTCTTGTGCAACAGTCAACACCATAAATGACTGAGGTGTTCTGATCCTTCAATAAAAAAGACTAATATATCTATGTAAGGTGCAGTCTGGAAGATTACGTTTCAATTATTTTGCTCGGGAATCATACAATAACTTAAATATTATTAAGTTAAGAGAGCACTAGATGATGTTCTTAAGGTGGAAGAAAAGGTTACCTTAATACACTTCATAGACAAGCTATGTTCAGTTTGTTTGTTTGTTTATTTATTTAATAACTTTCTATTTCTTTTCAAAATCAAGCAACTGCTCAATTTAGTGTATGCTAAATTCCATGTTGTGATAGGGAGTCCTGAATTATAAAATAAGAAAAACAAATTAACAGTCTGTGGTGGCTAGATAATTCATAATTACATGCATGCTCTCTTGGGGAAGGATTCTACATTAGAAATGAGAATATTTTCAGTTGAAGCGATCTTACAAAAAAGAAAGTAGGATGATTTGGCACAGTGCATGCTGGAATTATTATACAAAGTCACTGATGCACAAAGTCATCTCAGCTCTCTAGTACTTGGATGTTTAAAACAATCAATATAGCTTATTGTTATTATTATTATTATTGCATTAATAACAACTATTTTATTTTTATAGGATAATATTATGTAATAGTTTTTGGTGTTTTGTATATATTTTGTATGTTGATTTAAAACACTTTTAGTCAACTAATGAAGGTAGATGTTAACTGAAAGGTTGAACCACACTGGACAGGAGCGTTTTTTTATGGATATCAGGATTTATTTATTCATTTTAGGACATTAACAGTGGAAATATTAAATTGCTTTTTTTTTTATCAACACTTGAAGATATAGGCCTATGTGCCTATATTTTAATTGACTTTCAAAAATAAACACCAAAAAAATATTCACTTGTAAAACAAATCTAACAAAAGTAAAACAAATAAAAATGTATTTAATAGACTAATTCGATATTACAAAAAGCGAAATCCAAACATAGTCCTAGACTAGAGTGATGTTTGGCTTAGGATGTTTGGCTTAGGACTTCACACTTTATTCAAAGTGATTATAAAATTTGATTTTGTAAACATATTGCATAGTTGTGCTTAGAGTCATTTGTTTTATTTGTCATAACATAATGAAACATGCCAAATTGTACTGACATAATTTTTGGGCTGCCATACAAAGAAATTATAAACGCATGCAAAAACAAGAGAGAACCAATGAAATGTTAATAACTAATCATGTTGTAGTTAATGGATACTTTTTCCTGTGAGCTTTTTTTCTAGTATTATTATTATTATTTAAAATAAAACATGTAGCTGTAGTTAAATTACCCCCTTTTAAGATAATAATAATAAATATTTTTCAAATAATTTTGTCAGATAAATAGGCCTACCTTTCAAGTTTAGTTTTAGTCCACCCTCATATTTAAAAATATAAAGTAGTTTCCTTATATTTTGGTGATTTTATCAAACTTGTAGGGGGCATAAAAAATAAATCTTATAGCCTATATGCAACCATTTCTGAATAAACTTATTTGATAGGGATATTACAAAAAGTGAAAACACAATAACAGCATGGCAGAACATGTAGCCGCATTTCAAACCGCATGTCAGTTTCAATCTGTATGTAGCTCTATGTGAAAGTCTCTGAAGACGTGTGTCCCAGTCCTCGTCTAGGATCAGCCTGTATTCGTGAAATTAGCGTCGGAACACACATCGCTTTTGTGAACCGCGGCAGCGCACATATTTGGACTAAAAGTGCCTTGCCACTGGAGGCAGCAACGCAATGCGCAGCGCACCGCTGTTGTGAATGAGGGGTCGGATGACGTCAGTGCGCGAATGTCAACAATGTAGCGATTGAGAGTAGGCGTTTCATTCGAGTGTAACAAACAGAGGAGACGGAGCCGCACGCTGCAGAGATCACCAAACACACACACATTTACACACACGCGTTTTTATAAACACTTTTACAACCATAAACGTGATTATTTTTTTCCCTTAAAGAAAAATAATTATTGTAAGAGTGCACCGCAAAAACGTGATCTCCCTGCAGCCCGGGGACTTTAGGAGTCTGCAAGGAAGTCATCATGTGAGAAAAAAAAAATTTGCTAAACGGACAAAAGGGCTGCATCATAAGGGGAACAAAACTAGGCTGAAGGTGAGTTGCATGATTATTATTATCATTTTATCCATGCCTCCTGTGCGTTACATGTGGTTCATCTGTCGTAAATGGAAACGGAGAGGCAAACTTGTGTTTTTGAGTGGGCTATTTCACAGTACTTGGAGGCTTTGTTTCGCTATAGGCAAATATCACTGAAAGGGGAAAAGCTAGACCGCATGCCTGCCAGGGTTTACTTCAGTTGAAAACACACTCCCGTTTTAACGTAATGTTACCACATCCTGTTGTGCAGAAGTGACAATAGTTTGAGTGTGTTTGCTAGTAGTGGGATGCACTGCGATCCCGGGGGGAGGAGGAGGGGTCAGGCATGGCTTGTTTTCGCTCAAAGAAAAGAAGTTGTCACTCGGCCTTGACCGATCATAACAACGACGGAGACCCCCGGTGTAGATTCCCGCCTCCTTTCCTTTCCATGAATGGAGGAGTTGAGAATTAAAGTTGTTTATTGTTTGTTTTTTTTTTTCATTAATAAATATCGCAACGTTTAATATTCTTAACATGATTTGCTTTTAAAATCATGATTATCTATTATTATTAGAATCACACACGAGGGTTTAATAGAGAGCAGGCTGCATATATCAGCTCCTCTCTGTTTCAAAGAGCAATCGGATAAAAATACACGGCTGGTTGGGAAATGTGCTTACTGCAGTGGGTTGTAAAAATTGGAAGCAAGCTGTCTTTGTTCTGCGCAGCACATCTCTGATATAAACCACAGCCATTGCATTACACACTCTGATTAATCCCCATTAAACCAGCAGCATATTTGCTGTGTAAGGGACGGCGAGCCTTATTTGGTTCAGCAGCCAATGCAAACGTCTCGACTACCATTTAAAGGAACGAGGGAGCGTTTTCAGCGCGCGCACGCTGGAATGCTGGATCTCCGGTCTTCCCTCAATGATGATGAACAAAACTCAATGAACTGCACTCTGTGATGCAGGTGTTTCGCATTATCTCGTTAAGTTCCGCCTTGAATAATATGACTAATTTAACGGACACCGGCAGAGGTGGATGTAGGCAGGAGGCTAATAAGCGCGAGCGCGCATTCGTGAATGCGACGTGATAATTACTATCCTCTGCTATTGTAGAAAAATAGATATATGAATTGTTTGTGTGTGGGTGTGTGTGTGTAATGACTTGGCGGTTTTATTCGCATGGTTTAAATCACTAATTCCCACACATGGAAACAAAATGCCACTCAATAAGTAATAGCCTAATAGGCAGGAAGCGGAATGGTGATGTTGTGGTGGGATTCCTGGACAATAATAATTAAGGCTATATGTGAATATAAATATATAGACCTTTATATTTTTCTTTTGGACATGATTCAGTTCATTTAATGAAATAATTCCGGTTATTCAGTAGTGAGCTGACAAGCGTCTGAATGAATCAATGTAATGAAGGCATTTGAAATGAGGTGATGCAGCAGTTTGAGCTGCGCGTGCATTCCTTTGTCTGCGGCGCTACTGAATCGTCCAGGATATTTTCCCTTTGCCCACAGGCTGAATTGTTCAACCACCAACGTATCGTGAAGTATTTTTACATTGTTTTGAATGTTACATTAATTTCACATTGTCCAAATAGCCTATGGCAGTGCTTCTTTTGAACACTTGTCCCTTTTATAAAACTACGCTTGCGCCCTCCCCCTTCTTTAAGCCTATGAGGTCGACTGAAGCAAACCAACAAACCCCACTGTAATGTCTTATTTAAAAAGAAGAATATGATTTTTGGTTTGTAAATCGATTTGAATGTATAGAAACATGTGCATTATCTCGTGTTGTAGATATGACGCCATTGTCTCCCTGATGGAGATCACCACATTTACCATAAGATGCCTTAAAAAGAGAGGCTAGTTTGTTTGATTTTTAAATATTAAGCATTCTGTCTTCATTTACTCATTATTCCAACCCTGTACAACTTTCTTCCTTCCTTGGAACACAAAAGGAGATGTTGGTCATGGGCAGAATGACAGCCTCATGGCCGTTACCTAACATTGCATCTTTTTGCATCATACACTAGTGAATGGTGACTAAAGCTGTCCTTCCGCCGAACTCCTTTTGCGTTCCATGGAAAGTAGTCCTGTGGGTTTTTTTTAGTTTTTTTTTTAGTACAAGTAAATGATGCAACTCGAACATAATCTTAATCAATTTTACATGTTTGTGTGTTGTGCTATAGGGTTTATTGTGTATAATAATAATAATCAGTTTATTAGATTTGTCCCCTAAACAAACGTAATTGTGCCTAAAAGTAGGGGTTTTCAGTTTTTTTTAGATTCCACAGATCCACTAAATATGATCATCCTTATGCCATTTTAAAAGGCAGCTATTGTATATATTTTCATGAATGAAAGACCCCATTTATACTGTGAAAAAAGTGGAAAATATTATGTGGGAAATATTTATGTTCTTTTACACTTTTTTGTCTACTAAAATATTGTACTTTTTATTTATTTATTAAATCAATTTATTATTATTATTTTAACATCTTTTTATTTTACATATCTCTTTGTATTATTATTTATGTATTTTTTTTATATTTATTATTTATTAGTATTTATTTTTACTCCCTTTCAGTCCCCTCGGAGTCTGCGAAAGTTTGAAAACCCCTGTTTTAAAGTACCATTCATAAAACTCCTCCTATGCCAAGCTATCTTGTTCAGTTTGATGAGATTTAAATGTTCTTATAGGGAAAGAATGACCACTGTCAGCACTCATAATAAAATTATATTCTCAGGGAGGAGTGCAGCACAGCGCGGTTAATAGCTTCATTAAGATCCCTCTCCATTTCTGATATAAATCTGCCCTCAGTTTGTTTTCTCTGCAAGTCATTCTCATGATTTGTTAATTTTGCTTTGCTCACAACTCATTAGATATTTAGAATTAGAATGAATCATTCATCCAACGCAAAGTCCCTAAACTAATGATTTGTATTATTTGTAATCCATTCTTGTGATTTTATTATTTCTTTAAAGAATATGACTGAATATACTCCATTCAAGATCTTTTTTTTTTTTTTTTTGTCCAGACGTTCTCATGCTGATGATTCATAAACTGACAGGAGCCCATCCCATTTTGGTTGAGTTTATGAATGGCATTGAATAACAGGAGTAGGAATCAACCTCATTAATGCCTAATGATTGTTATTGGATTAAATGTATTTGTACACTCATGCATCATAGTACTTGAAGAGCAGTGTTCTGGTACAGTTGAGTTTTTACAAGTTTTAGCATTTTTTCTCTCCCGCCTGTTTGAATAAGCCCACCAGTAAAGCTCTTCGCAGAGAATAAGAGCCTTGGGTATGAAAACATGTTCCCATAGCCGTCCCACGTCAGCGCTAAGGTATGTTTGACCGAGTTCCAGCCTCTGAGAAGGAGAAAAAGAAAAAAAGAGAGCAAGCTGAGCCATTTAAGACAGGACTTTTTTTTCTGTTCTCACATGGACATTTTGGGTGGAAGTGAGAGATTGGCATCATCAGTCACTGTGCAGTGAGCGTGTCTATAATGGCACACAATCCCACAGACGGGAGAAGGAATCTCTCAGTGTTCACCCTCATCAGTGTTTGTGCCAAGGCAAATCTCACTGACTGTTACCACAGGCCAAATTCTGACTGGACTATTTTGCTGTGGGATTTTTGGGAGTGCTTTGCCTCTGTGTTGTTACCTCATTCAGATTGTAAATCATTTTGTCTGTGCACTTTGGCATCCACTTGCCCATCTTGTCATCCAATGCTCTTACACGCAAATGAACTGATAAATGAAAAGATTGACAGGCTGCTCCACATCTGGCCTGAATTGAGCTCCAGTTAAAAACAACATGCGCGAACGAGCAGGAAGTTTATGGGTGGAATAGTGGAAGCGTTCGACTCAATGGAAGCCTATAAAAACCACACCAGGAATTCCGTAACAGTCAACAGTCTCTCCGGCCCACAGCAGTGTGCCGAAAGACAATTCCACTCGGAGCGCTGAATTAACACAATTACCGCCACGTTATGATCATTGCTTTTTAAACCCCTTCTTCGCGGGAGTTCTGTTTTTATGCTGAATCGAGGGATTTATGTGTGTAGTTATTAATGAATGACTTGTGTCTAGGATTTTCTGTAGCACAGCTGCTGCTTTGATACTGTCAGCCCGTCTCGCACATAGTAAACCTCTCCGGTTCTGCTCTCTATCTCATTGATTATCAATTAGATGGATTGTCTATGTACAATACCTTTCAAAACTTTAAGGTTTTAGTACGATTTTTTTGGTCACACTTAGTTTCTTACTATTAACTAATTATTAACTACTAAAATTATATTACTGCTTATTAATAGTAAGTAAGGTTAAGTTTAGGTATTAGATAGGATTAAGGGAAGTAGAATATGGCATTTATGTGCTTTATAAGTAGCCTACTAATAAACATGCTACAATATACATGCTAATAAGCAACTAGTTCATATCCAAAACTAAAATATTACTGTTTTTTCTTCTTATTCAAAACAACACATTTATACTTACCTTAAGTATGCATTAAACCGATCAAAAGTGAAAGGAAAGATATTTACAAAAGATTAATTTTTCAAATATACGCTGTTCTTTCTATTCATCAAAAGATCCTGAAATCACAGTTTAATCAAACTATTAAGGAGCAAAACTGTTTTTAACATTGATGATAATAAGAAATGTTTCTTGAGCACCAAATCAGCATATAATAATGATTTCTGAAGGATCATGTGACACTGAAGACCGGAGTAATGATGCTGAAAATTCAGCTTTGTCATCATAGGAATAAATTACAAAATATTTAAAAATAAAAATTTTAATATTTCACAATATTACTGTAAGAGACTTTCAAAATTATTAAAACAAATCTTACTGATCCCAAACTTATATAAATGGTAGTGTAACTTGTTTTAAGACTTAATATCATTTGTCATAATTTCTCAGTTTAGCTTAAATTTAGATCTAAGTCATTACGAATGGTTTCATGATTTATAATAGTGGCCGT